TCTCGTTTTCAAAACAGTGTGACTTAAGGCTACATTGCAGCCAGCTAACCCCACAGCATGATAGTCTTAATAACAGGCAGTTCAGAGAATAACATTTGAATGATCTTGATTTGGAAAAGCATCCCTTCTGGATTCAGTAGTCTGTAGGGGAACTGTTAAGCTCTTGTTAATCCTCAGCTGTCAAATTAAGTAGGCTGTTAGCCAAACTAATTGGCATGATAGGTAGGACAGAGGGTAAACATTCCTTAGGCTGCGATTAATAGGCTGAAATGGTTGATCTGCTGATTAAAAAAAAATAATAATGAAAAATATACATATATAAAAATCACCATACTTACTGCAAGTATAGTGAACTCTCCAAAATGATAAACATAATTAATTTCAAGGACACAGTACTAACAAATGCTTTCCAGTCAATAAGTCAGTTGATTTAGCCTATGTTTGCCTACCTACACTTTTGCTATCTTAGATACCCATTAGTTCATATTCCCTCCCATGTCCAAGTCTCCTCTTATGTGCGTACAGAACACCTGCACTTTACAGATGTATACAGTAATGCATTATTTATACCTAAACTTTGCTTTGGATTAATTATGAATTAGATTCTGACTTTAATAGGACTACTTAAACATGTATACTTAATTATAGGCAAGAATAATAAACGAGTGTATGCAAGATCATGACCCAAACAGTGAAGTCAGGCAATTTAAGAAATTATCACTGGAATTGCAGAGATACTTACAGTAATGAAAAAACAAATTCCAAGCAGAGATGTCAGAAAAGCAACATTCAGACAAGTTAATTGCTAATTAAAACTTCTCGTGTTTGGAACAAAAAAAAAAAATATTTAGGATATTAGTAAAAACATCCTAATAGTATTTGGTTTATTTAAATACTGGTCATGTAATTGCTGGCTTGGGACTTAAACATGGTCTGTTTCTTGGCAGGTTTCTGCTGCCATGCTATTTGAGTTAGAAAAGTTCAATGGGTAATATTAGCTTAGCTGTGGAACTCTGATATTTAATAGGATTTTATGGAAATAGCTAATATGTGCACGTAGCAGCAACTCCTCACAGTTCAATATTGTCACAAAAGTGTCTTTTGATTCCATTATAATCCTTATTTCATTTAACAAGTAAACAAATAAGGCTGCTGAGGCCAACACTGTATAATAGCAAGAAAGTTTCTTCACTCTCTGACATTCAAAAGTTATGGCAAAGAAAGTACGTGGTTTACATTTGTATTACATGTATTATTATGCTTTGGAACCTTGAGCTCGCAAGGATAAGCAAGGTATCAATAAGCAAAGGCCAATTTTGTGGCCACTTCTGAGACTTTGGTTTATCAGAAATATTTCATTTTGTGTATGGCAGTAGTTCAAAACACATTTGAATAACCACATTCATAGAATCACAGAATGACCCAAGTTGGAAGGGACGCATAAGGATCATGGAGTACCATATGGAGTACATAGTACCACCCAAAAATCAGACCATATGTCTGAGAGCATAGTCCAGATGCTTCTTGAACTCCATCAGCTTGGTGCCATCACCACTGCTCTGGGCAGCCAGTTCCATGCCTACTGCTCTCTGGTGATCAACCTTTTCCCGACACCCAACCTGCCTCTCCCCTGACACAGCCCCACGCCGTTCCCTGGGCCCTGTCGCTGTCAGACAGCAGGGCTCAGCGCTGCCCTCTGCTCCCTATGAGAGCTGCAGCTGTCATGAAGCCTCCCCTCAGCTCCTCTTCTCTGGGCTGGGCAAACCGAGGGACCTTAGCTGCTCCTCATACCTCATTCCTCTCTAGACCTTCACCGTCTTTGTAGCTTTCCTTTGGACACTCTTTAATAGTTTTACTCATGGAAGGAAAATCCTTAAAACAGAAATGGGGGCAATAATAAAAATCAGGGAACGAAAAGTGATGGAGGAAATCTCACAACTGGAGAAACCATTATTTGCTATCTCTATTTTTCTAGCATAACCCCTGTAGTTCTGCATCTGGCACTCATGTTTTCTCAGTCACTAAATATCTGCAAGGTACTAGAATAAGCACAATACCAGTACAACAAAATCAGTTTTCAGGCATGTGCCCTTCAGATGAGGTTCAGAAATTTTACTGGTTGCTTTGTATTATCATCACTTTATGGTCAAAAGTCTGCAGGTTCTTGATATCATTCATTACAGAACTGCCAAGGCTGCAGCTAAATGATTTCTTTGTCAGCGTTGTTATCTTGTATCTGTACAGGTTGGATAGATAAGTAGAGTTGGAAAAGGAAGTGTTCTTTTTTACTTTTGTTTTTTCTTTCTCTGAGACAGAACTGATCAAACATTGTTAAAGGCCTAAAAAGTGGTGTTTTATTATGTGCATCTGGAATAGCAAAAACACTGAAAACATGTGTCTTCTTCCTTGCCAGCTTACTGGCAATGCTCTGCGACAAACGAATCTATAGCACTTTCTGTCTGCTGTGTGTAATTCTCATCTTCCAGAAGAAATTGTGGTGGTCCTAAAGTGTCTCCTGTAGGAGCAGTTTGTGACGTGCTCATCTGTAGATACAGTGCTAAAGGCTGCTTTAATATGCAAGACTGACTTTTCCTTTTCAGTGGCAAGACATTTGGGCAAGAGCAGATGTTCAGATGAGGACACATGGTGAAAGCTCTCTATCTCTGGCTCACGGAAACCAGAAACTTTGGATATTTTGAATCTGAAGTTTAATGTCAATGTTCTTTGCAGTTTGCAGCCTGTACCCTGCACATGCTTTGGTTTTCATTTGAACTAACGTTATGTGAATATTTGATTAAAACTGGGAATGATTTAGATGAGTGATGTAACAGTGTCAGGTTCTGAGTCATTAGAAACATACATCTCTAAGTTATTCCTCATACATCAACTCATAGTACCACAGAATGTCCCAGGTTGGAACTGACCCATAACGACCACTGAGTCCAGCTCCTGGTTCCACACGGCACCACCCAAGTTTCAAGCCCTGTGTCTGAGAGCACTCTCCAAACACTGCTGAACTACAGCAGCTTGGGGCCGTGACCATTGTCCTAGGCATCCAGATCCATGCCCACTGCCCTCTGGTGAAGAACCTTTTCCTGATACCCGACTTGACCCGCCCCCATGCAGCTCCACGCTGTTCCCTCGGGTCCTAATTCTTGTTGCTTGAGCTTGTTTGGCCACGTTCTGAATGCACAAGTGTGGTACGTAAGGGCACACCAGTCACACTGGCTTTGTAGTGGACACATCTCAGAGGTGACCACCACGTTACTGTTCTCATTATGCTGTCGTTAGTCCTGCGCTTGACCACCTTGTCTTTCCCTAATTAACAGGCCTAATTGCGCTCACTGGCTGCCTCGGGGAAGCCCTCGTCAGGCTGCAGCTGAGGTATCGCCTAACAGCGCGGAACGGCCGCCGGCCCCCGCCCTTCCTGCCCACGCGGCGGGGGGCTCCGGCGGGGCCGCTGGGGGCGGGCGGGCTCTCTGAGGGCGGGCAGCTCTCGCCGGGCGACGGCGCAGCGCCGGAGGGGCGGCGGGAACACCGGGAGCGCGAGGAGCCCTCAGCGGTGAGGGCGCGCGTGGAGGAATTCGCTGCCGGCCCCGCTGCTCCCTTCCTCCTCGCAGCGCGGTGACCGCGGGTCCTGCCCCCGGCGGCGCGCCCCGAGTTGCCGGAGGGGGGGCTGCTGGCGGCGGGGCCGCCCAATCCGCGCGGGGCCGCCCCCGTGATTGGCAGCGCGGGGCGGGGGGGAGCCGGGCTCGCTCGCGCTGCCTTTCCCAGAGAGTTTCCGAGCGGGGGCGGCCGGGGCGCCTTTGCCCTCGGCGCTGCCGGCGTTTTGCCTGCTCGGGGCCGCCGAGCGCTCCGCCGAGGGAGGCGGCGCGAAGAACGAGGGAAGCGGCCACGCGAATCAGTTTCTCTCCGTATCCGGCTCCGGGCAGAGGCGGCAACCGTAGCGGGGAGGAGGGGAGAGGGGGAAAAGCGTCTCCGGGGCGGCGGCGGCGGGGGAACCCCCCGTCACTTCGCAGCCGAGGTGGGTAGCGGGGCGCGGCGGGCGGTGGCCGGGGGCGCGGGAGGGCGGCTGCCGGGGACGGGCGGGCAGCGGATTACCCGGGGACAGCGCGGCGAGGGGCGGGTGGCGGCGGGAGGGAAGAAAAGTTGCCGGCGGCGGCCAGCGGGGCGGCTGGTGGTGCCCGCTCTTCCCGGAGCCCCACGGGTCGCCGCCGCGCCGCCGAGATGGACTGCGCCTGGCCGCCGCCGGGGGAGTCCGGGGTGTTGCACTCAAGTTCTCGCCACGTTCCCGCTTTTTGGCGCCGGGCTGCGATGGCGAGGTCGGTGTCAGCGGGAAAACGCCGATTTCAGCACGCGATGGAGCAGGAGGTGCCCTAGCTGGTGGCTGTGCTCGTCCGGTGCGGGGCTGCGTGCGGGCCCTCCTCCCATCCGCGTGTGTGTGCGTGTATGAGTGAGTGAGTGCGAGTGCCGCGGTGTAACGCTCCCCCCCGCCGCCGCCGCGTGCGGGAGCAGCCCGTCACGTTTCGCCTCTTTTCCTTTCCCAGGTGCTGAAGGGCTGACGGACCGAGCGCTGGTGCTCGCAGAGACGACAGCGAGGCGTCTGCCCCCCACCAACCTCCTGGAGAGACGCGATCTCGGTGCCAAATGAACGGCGGAGAGAGACTTTTGCTGATTCCCCCCCGCTCGTAAATACCCAGAAAGCGGAAGGAGCGGCACCGCCGAGCAGCGGCTGCGGCAGAGGGGAGGGGGACCGCGGCGCAGCGCTGCTGCAGCCCGGCGGCTGATGGCGGAGTTCGGCGGCGGCGGCGGGGGGCTGCCCGGCTCCCCGGGGCCGCTGCAGGGCAAGGTGGCCTTCAGGGCTGGCGACGGGGACGGCGGAGGCGGCGGTGGGAGAGTCCGCTTTGACAGCGCCGGTGGCCGCGTCTCCAACGGGGACTGCGCGCTGGCGGGGGCCGGTGAGGAGCCGGGATCCGCGCCCCCCGGAAGCCCCGAGAACAGCGGCAAGGAGAAAGGGTTTCCCTGCGGGCAGCAGCGGGAGGGCAAGCCCGGCATCCCCCGGAGGAGCAGCATCATTAAGGTAAGGGCAGCACTCCTCCCAGCGGGGTTTCGCTTCTGTGTGTGGCAGAGATGTGGCTCCACATGAAGGGATATGCTGCTGGTTTTGTGTGTGTGTGTCCCTCCCGTTGAGGGGACCTGATTTTCCCTTTGTCAGAAGTGAACGGCAGAAAATGATGGCTTCGTATACATCCACACCTGGCAGGGACTTGTGCTTTTGGGTTTATTCAAAGGAAAACTGCAACTCCTGTGTGGAAGGAGCCTGACTGGCTTCTGAAATGACAACATGGGCACCAGTCTGGCATTGAAGGATGGGATTATGCTGCATCTGTGTTGTTTGGGAGGCACTTGTGCGGAGCAATTTGTGACTCCTTTGGGCTGTGCATGTGACAGACACACAGCAAGTGATGAAGATGTGGCTCTCACTATGCTGGGGGTGGGAGAAGGTAGGACAGGGGGCTCTTTGTGTTAAAAGTGGCTGTCATGTAACAGCAGGCTGTGTTGGGTTTCACCTGTAGGAACAACCTGTGTTTATGGTTTGTTCTGCATATTCTGAATGCTCGTGTTTGTGCTTGAAAAGTAGGGAAACATCAGTGGTAGAATGTAGGTAAGTGGAAAATAGAATGGGAGGATTGTTGATACAGTTGTTCACACAAACAACTGTTCTCTTTTCTTAAACCATTGATTCTGGAAGGTGAGACATTGTCTACGGGTAGCTTTTGTGACTCAATGGAAAAGCAGAAAGAACATATAGGAATGCATGTCCATTTGTGCTGATGGTTCTGCTAAGGACAGAATAAAACACAACTTCAAGTGTTTAAGAATTGAGTTCAATCAAGATCAGCTAGATCAAAATCAAGCTAGATTTGTTGTCTGCATAAATATTTATACATCTCTGAAGTCAGCATATGAAGTTCCATTAGCAGGATAATAGCAAAACGTGTGGAAATGCAGGGCTGGTTCTGTATCTCAGGTTGTGTCAGTGCTTCCTGGACCTTGCTTTAGAAGTCAAGGGGAGAGCAAGGGCAGTCAGCAGCGGAACGCATCTGACAGCCTGCACCCACCCTTCCTGTTCAAGCAGTGGTGCTAGGTGTGTATGTTTGTGTGTGAGTTAAAGAAAATACAACAGTAAATGAGAGGCAGCTGAACTCTGTGTTGGAGTAACCTGGTGCGTACTGGGTTTGCCAGCAATTTTTTACAGCTCTGTTAATTCCTAACATTGTTTTGGGTTATCTGTGATAGCCCAAGAAGGGTAATACATTGCTTGCAGCGTGCAATGTGCCATAATACTATTTTATTATTTACAATTTGGTTACAGCAGCCTTCAGCTACTTCGGTGACCAGCCAAGGACAGTACGTAGGGATGGGATATACTGAAATTAAGCATGAGATAAGGAAATCTGGCTTGCATTGTTTCATGAACACCTAAGTCAAGGTTCTTGTTTCTACAGAAATTACAGTGCTCTGGAATGTAAAATTACTTAATTTTCTAGTATTGATTGAGTGGAAAAATCTGGCAGCAATGCTTTTAAAGCTATGTGATCCATGTTTATTTTAGATACGACTCTTTTAATGCTTCTGGGAAAATTACTTCACACATGCTGAATATCTTTCGTCTGCTTGCTTCAGCAGTTTGCAGGTAGTTTGAATCAGGTTGTGTAGGTACCTCATTTTCAATATGAAACCTTTTGGAAAATCTGGCGTGAATGGTAAACCTTAATGTGCTCCTTGTTGTCTGCTCTTGCAGAGCAGAAGTGTATAAAGCAGAGTGGGGAAAAAAGTAAAATGTAATCTATTTTTCAGGAGCGTTCCTGGAGTTTTAGTTACTTACATAAATGATGTAAAACTGCTCTTAAGGAATGTAAGGAGTAATCTGAGGAAACTGCTCCGTGCCGTGCAAACACAGTTCTCATACTTCTGTGCAGAATACAGGATGATGTTGGTTGATTTTTAAAATGCAGATTTATGGGATATCTAATGCTTTAAATGTTTTGCCTGCCAATTACTGTGTAGACTTTTGAGTTACAAGCAGAAAATTGGTGTGTGAGTAGTAGTTCAGATTAAACTCCTCTGAAGTGCTTGTTTGTTCACAGAAATTGGGCCATCGCAGTATATCTTATTCTGTTTGTAATCTGTGCTTCCATTGGTTGACCATTTCTGTCCATTTTCAGGACACTTCTCAGAGTAGTCACTTTTTTTTTTCCCTGTTGCTTCTTTTTAACCCTTATTTGCATCTTCTATTCCTTCTTTTTATTTTTATTATTTTTTTTTTTTTTACTGGTTCCATATTTTTTCCTTTTATTTATTTTCTGCTCCTGCATCATTTTGGGTTTTTATTTTTTCATTGGGACAAGAGTGTTTCCTCTTTGAGGATGATGCCTTCCAGGATGATGATGGGTGATAGGGTCACTGTTACTGGGAAAACTAAGACGGTCATGGTAGTTTACTTGGCCTTTCACTCTGATATATAAGCTCTATTAAAGACTGTGCCATTAATTCTGAACAGTTTTTGTGGCATAGTCTAGTTTCAGTGCTTGCTGTTACTGAACCAAACCTGAGGGCTGTGTTTATAGCGATGTGCATTTTCAGTTTGCTGCCTTCAGTTTATGAGAGTCTGATTTGTTTTCAGAGGTGGCAGTGATGATGCATGGTACATTCGTAGGCTTTAGGCTCTTCAGAGACCTAATTTGTGAACTAATTTACATACCAGATACTTGTACCTAATGCCTTTTTTCTTTATTTTTTGGGTCAGTATTATGGTTTTCCATAACACTTTTCTTGAGGCAACTGTCTGTGCCTTCTATAATGTAATTTCCTACAGTAGTCCTTAACAATTTTCTATAAAATTAATTTACAGTGAGTCCATCTTGCAGCTGAAAGTGAATGTAAACATCCTGTGAGCTTCTCTCAGCTGCTGTGGTAATTGGCAGTGGGCTTGCTTTATTTCTTGCGGGGTTCTTTCGCATCTCTCTTAAAAAGATTTAGAGATGGTGAGCCTTTGAGGCACTTTAAGAAGGCAGATGACTTGTGGTCTGCGTGTTTCCTCAGCTGCCTGCTTCCAGGGACCTCCAGGGAAATACAAACCACTCAGAGAACCTCACACCTTGTCAAAACTGTAGACCTAGACAGAAGGAGACCCAGCAGTGTGAAGGAATGAATGTATTAGGAGAGGTGTTAAAGTACTAAGAAGAGACACACTTAGGAGCAACCCCACTTGTCTGGGAAGACAACAGTGAGAAATAAATGAAGAAAAGTGGCCAGGTGTTGTGTGGGCAGCATGTGTCTGGAAGCAAAGTCCAGGTGTGGGCTTGTTTTTTTTCTTTTTTTCATATAGTAATAATGATCTTAGTGTCAATAAATTTCTAGGCTGATAACTTAAGCAAATTTATATCTCTCTTGTATTTATTTTCTTTCTTTCTTTCCTCTCTGCCTGACTGTGAACGTAAGCTTTCAGTTTGTGAAATCAGGCAGTTGTTGGTCATTGGCAACTCTGTAAGTTCTAATGCCTGTGAGAAGAGAGGAATCAAATTGAGCAGGCAGATTTTCTTGGCTGTAATTCACAACAGAGCTTTGCTTTTGAAATTGGTTGTTCTTATGTCTGTGTCTACAGTTAGGGAGTCCTGTAGCATATGCAACAGAGTTTTCTTTTTTTCAAATCAACATACCAATAGATGCCATTATCTCATTCAGTCCTCTGTGCTCTCCGGTTGGTACTGTATACCTGTTTGTAAGGGGCGTACAAAATATGAAATACGGAGAATGTTATGCAGTATTTTCTCCTACGGTGATAGCTTTAAAGCTTTTTATATACCTCTGTATTTGCATTTACAGTAAACTCTAAGGCAATATTTTTAGTAGATCTCGATTTTCTGAAGCCCTAAATTACCTTAGCTAAAATGGCACGTTAGCATGTCCTGGTGGAGATCCAGGAATAGATCACATGCTTTCAGTTTCCACCTAGAAGGGTATAAAGAAGTTAGGTTGTTGGAATCAGTTTAAAGTATATGAAATTATGTGATATTCAGCCACCTTTGATATTGGAGAAGAAACCTGTGAAGTGATATTGTTTTTTATAGATATATGGGCATTTGTGCCTTAGATGTGCTGGAGATTTTCAGCTAAACTTGGCTGAGCACTGATGGGCTCAAAGGTGCTGAGGCTCCTCAAGTTCAAAGAAAACAGTCGTGTAGGGAAAAGAAAGAAAACTAGCCTGTGCTTTCTTGCTCCACACCCTTTCCGCTTGGGAACAAAAACCTATTGTATGAGCTTTATTCTTCGCAGTTCCACAAGGTCTGTGTGGAGGAAAGACATTACAAATGTCCCAGCAGTGGAGGATCATTCACTCACACACACGTGTTAACTGAGTTGATGCCAGAATCAAAGCGTTAGCAAACAAGTCTGCAGCAGTTCAGCTACTCCTACATCTTACTCTGAGCAGGCTTCCAACTGGATGGTGGAAGTGGAGGTTTTCTGAGGAGCTGTTCTGGATTTTGCTGTCTGTTTTGTTCTTGTTGATGCCTGTTAGAGCCATGATCCCATCGCCACTGTTTGTCATACAGCAGGAGAGGTGGGTGAGCACCTGGAGCTTTCTCTTGGGGGTTATTTTCTCTTTGATTTGTCACACTTCCTATCTACATTGCAGAAGGTTACAAGCACCTTTTGATAAGTGTTTCTTCTGTTTCATCCTCTACTACTTACTGTATAACCATTTTTAGCAATGTTACATGAATTGAATTCTCAAACAATAGTTGACACATAGTAGCTCTTTCTAAATTTTTATTTTATTGTTACTATTATTGGTTTTTGGATAAAGTGTATGTAAACTGAATACACACACACACACATATTAGGCAGTGTGCTGCTTTTTAACAGTGAGGCTGCGCTGTGAAGTGTCTTGTGGCACAGCCATTGAGTGATTGTGTGGTGCATTGTATTTGGTATATATTTTTGTTTGCCTTAGTGCTTTATCTAGACTGCAGTAATCAAAACTTTGCTTGGATTAACACTATTTAAAAAAAAAAA